AAATATGTATTTAGTAGAAGAATAATATCCATGGCCAGGGTAGACAGGGGTTAGGAGAACTGGTCAATTGTTGGAACTAACCACAAGTGCGTGTGGAACTGAGGGTAGGTAAGAGAAAAAAGAGACCACTATGACAATAATAGCTGGGAATGATAACACTGGACAAGATCTGAGAGTTAAAAATAGGTAAGGGATATTCTTGATAACCTTTCAGTATCAATATTGTAAACCACAATGCCCAAAAAGGGAAGGGCGGGGGAGAAAGAGAGAGAGACAGAAAAAGAAACAGAGACAGGGAGACAGAGAGACAGAGAGAGACAGTGAGAGAGAGAGAGAGAGAGAGAGAGAGGAAAATGGCCTGCCATAGAGGCAAGTAAAGGGTGGGGGGTTGGGGTGATGGGAGGGAACCTGGGGACACTGGTGCTGGGAAATGTACACTGGTGGAGGCATGGGTGTTAGAATACTATATAACTGAAATTTAATCATGAACAGCTTTGTAATGGTCTATCCCACAGTGATTCAATAAAAAGAAGATTTAAAAAATCAATGAGAACTAAAAGAAAAAGAAATTCATGTTCTCTCTCTTAAACTCTTATCCTTCTTTCTCTCCCCTCACATCTAAATTTCTTTCAGTAAAACTATTTTTGCCTCACAAAGTCAACAAAATACTAGAGGATTAAATTCAACAATATATTAAAAGATTTGTTCATCATGGTGAAGTGGGATTTATTCCAAGAATGCTAGGTTGATTTAATATATGCAAATCATTGTAATACACCATAATGATTCAAGGAAAGATAAAAATCATATTCATATATCAACATATTCAGCAAACATTTGACAAAATCCAACACCCATTTATGATAAAAAAAAAACCTTACAACAAAGTGGGGCTAAGAAAGAACTTCCCTTGATATAGTAGAAGACCATTTACCAAACACTAGTAGATAAGAAACTTTTCTCAATATAGTAAAAAGCCATTTACCAAAAACTGTGATGCTAAACCTGCTTGATATACATAAAAGACTAAACAAAGCATAGCTGTTGATCTAGCTAATTTACTGGGGTAGTATATGAATGAGGAGCATAGGGTGAAAGAATGATATAATCTCTTTCTGCTGCTATAGTAAAATACTATAAATGAAGGGGCTTAAAATAACCTTTATTCCTCACAGTTCTGAAGATTGGAAATACTAGATCATGAGACTAACAAATTTCAGGGTCTGGTGAGATCTCACTTCCCCAACAACATTATCAGGGATCCTCACATTGGTACAAGTAGAAAGAAGCTCTCTGCAACCCCCACCTGCATTTTACTTTTACAATATACCCAGTGGTTGCTGGGGGCTACTCGCACCTTGATGTTCCTAAGTCACTCCTGGCAATGCTCAGAGAATAATACTGTGCCAGGAGTTGAACAGGAGCTCCTGCAGGCAAAGCATGCCTTTGCACTATCACCCCAAGCCTGGGGCCCCTTTTTGAAGGTACCAGTTCTGTTTATGTCAACACTATCAACAAGACCCAACCATTTCCCAAAGACCAGTCTCCTAGTAATCCTTGTGAGAGCTAGAATTTCAATATCACTTCATCAATTGATTCCTCGTTATTCATCGATTTACTCGAGCAGGTGCCAGTAACATCTCCATTCATCGCTGTTGTGTGCTAGCGTAACCCAATGGCATCTGTTCGTTCTAGGAACATGCAGAGCCTCAAACCGATCATTCAGGGTCTTGACGAAGAAGTCTGACCATCTTGGAGGTGGGTGTCCACGCGATCTTTTGATGTCCCGTGGAATCCAGTCAGTAATGGCTCTAGTCCAGCAGTTGTCTGTAAACCTCATTACATGTCCAGCCCATCTGATTTTTGATGCCTTGGCAAATGAGACAGCGTCCCTGATTCCTGAGCGTTGACAGAGATCAGAACTCTGGATTCTATCTCTCATTTGAGTGAAGTGTGATATTCCAAGCATAGCTCTTTCGATTCCTCTTTGAGAGACCCGAATAGTGTTCTCATCCAGTTTTCGTAGGGCCCAAGTCTCTGAGGCATATGTTAATGCAGGAAGAACAGTGGAATTGAAGAGATGTGCCTGGAGCCGGAGGTTCTTCATCCTCTTAGCTATTTCTTCGAGGCTCTTGAAGGTGTTCCAAGTCTCTCTCTTTCTCCTGTGCAACTCAGGTGCCAGGTCATTCATCATGTTGACTTCTCAACCTAGGTACACATAACTGTTGCATTCGGAGATGTGCATTCCATTCAGAGTGAATGGAACATCAGGAATGAGACTGTTTCTCATAAACATTGTCTTGGTGAGATTCAGCCATAGTCCGACCTTTCCACACTCATGGTCAAAGTCAGTCAGCATTTGTGTCGTTTGGCTAATGTTTGATGTTATTAGAATCGTTAAACTGAATCCTTTTCAGAACCCGGATTGTTCACATGGTTGTCCTTCATTTAGTGTTCTGCTAATCCTATTCAGGATGACTCGAGTGAACAGTTTGTAGATGACAGACAATAGGCAGATTGGGCGATAGTTGCCAATGTCGTGGATGTCTCCCTTCTTGTATAGTAGTACAGTCTTGCTGGTTTTCCATTGGGATGGAACCTTGCACTCAGACAAGTAGCGTGTGAAGAGCCGAGCCAGTGTGTTGATGAGTCACTTATCACTTAATCACTTAATCCCCGTTATTCATCGATTTATTCGAGCGGGTGCCAGTAACATCTCCATTCATCCCGGTTGCGTGCTAGCGTAGCCCAATGGTATCTGTTCGTTCTAGGAACATGCAGAGCCTCAAACCGATCATTTAGGGTCTTGACGAAGAAGTCTGACCATCTTATAGGTGGGTGTCCACGTGATCTTTTGATGTCTCGTGGAATCCAATCAGTAATGGCTCTAGTCCAGCGGTTGTCTGTAAACCTCATTATGTATCCAGCCCATCTGATTTTTGATGTCTTGGCAAATGAGACAGCGTCCCTGATTCTTGAGTGTTGACGAAGATCAGAACTCCGGATTCTGTCTCTCATTTGAGTGAATCATGATATTCCAAGCATAGTTCTTTCGATTCCTCTTTGAGAGACCCGAATAGCGTTCTCATCCTGTTTTCGTAGGGTCCAGGTCTCTGAGGCATATGTTAATGCAGGAAGAATAGTGGAATCAAAGAGATGTGCTCGTAGCTGGAGGTTCTTTGTCCTTTTAGTTATTTCTTCAATGCTCTTGAAGGCATTCCAAGCCACTCTCTTCCTCCTGCGCAACTCAGGTGCCAGGTCATTCATCATGTTGATTTCTCGACCTAGGTATATATATAACTGTTGCATTCGGAGATGGTGGTTCCGTTGAGAGTGAATGGAGCGTCAGGAATGAGACTGTTTCTCATAAACATTGTCTTGGTGAGATTCAGCCATAGTCCGACCTTTCCACACTCATGGTCAAAGTCAGTCAGCATTTGTGTCGTTTGGCTAATGTTTGATGTTATTAGAACGATGTCATCAGCAAAGCAGAGGTGGTGTAGTTGCCGACCATCTATCTTCACTCCCATGTTTTCCCATTCCAGTCGTAGCATGATGTTCTCGAGGGTGGCACTGAAGAGTTTTGGTGAAATGGTATCACCCTGCCGAACCCCTCTCTTGATATGGATGATTACTTCTTTGTAGAATGGTGAGATCTTGGTAGTGAATCCGCAATAGAGCTCACGAAGGATCCTGATGTATTGAGTTTGTACGCCCTGATTGGCTAGGGCTTCCATGACCACTTCCGTCTCAACAGAATCAAAGGCCTTCTTTAAATCAATAAACATTAGACAGAGCGGCATCTTGAACTCCCGAGATACCTCAATGAGCTTGGTTATTGTGTGGATATGGTCGATGGTACTGAATCCTTTTCGGAATCCAGCTTGTTCACATGGTTGTCCTTCATCTAGTGTTCTGCTAATCCTATTCAGGATGACTCGAGTGAATAGTTTGTAGATGACAGACAATAAGCAGATTGGGCGATAGTTGCCAATGTCGTGGATGTCTCCTTTCTTGTATAGTAGTACAGTCCTGCTGGTTTTCCATTGGGATGGAACCTTGCATTCAGACAGGTAGCGTGTGAAGAGTCGAGCCAATGTATTGATGAGTACTGATGGTAAGTTCTTCAGGTGTTCAGGTCTGATCTTGTCAGGGCCAGGTGCTCTTTGTTTCTTTACCGACGAGATGGCGCATTGAATTTCGGAAGGGAGAACATTGGGAACGATATATCCATCGTGCGGTATGTGGTATGTGGGCAAGTGGACGTGGCTATTAAAGAGATCGGAGTAGAAGTCATGAATAATCTTCTCCATTGCCCTTCTGGAAGATGTGATAGATCCATCAGGATGTCGGAGGGCAGTCATCTTGGTCTTGTAGTTGGTGAAGGACAGGCGGGCATTACGAATGCTTTTCCCAGTTTCTGCTGTATCTACCAGTACTGCTGCTCTCCTGTCTTTGAGGTCATCCTTAATGGCTTCTCTGCACTGTTTTGCCAGCTTGGACGTTCACTTGCGGTTGCCTGAGGCATGTGCCAAGACTCGTTGGCGAATAAGTTCAAGAGTGTTCGAAGAAAGGCAGTTTTTTGTGGTTATCTCTCTCTTGGCATTCCTCGCACAATCATGGAAGTGCTGAATCATTCGATCATATTCCTCATCAATGTTGTCAATGACGGCATCTTCCCATGTTGCCGCAACAGAGCCAAAGAGCTCCCAGTTGGTGGTCGTTCTGGGAGTTCTCTTCTTAAACTTTGCATTCTTTTCTCCCCGTTCTGTGAGGTAGAATTTTGCACGAAGAAGACGGTGGTCTGATCCCGTTTGGAATTTTGGGACAACAGCAACATCGGTTAGGCAAAACCGCGGATTGAATATGATGTGGTCTATTTCATTGTGGAACCGTCCATCGGGAGACTCCCATGTCCAATGTTTAGATTCAGCCTTTTGGAACTGTGAGTTACTATGGAAGGTTTTGGTTGACATGATGAACTCAGACAGTCTGTCAACCTGTTCGTTCCAATCTCGGCCATGGGTACCGATGTGGAGTTCATCGGCTGATCTTCTTGGTCCTATCTTGGCATTAAAATCACCGACAATGATCTTGTAGAAGGTGTGATCTTCTTTATAGAACTTCTCAAGCTCCAAGTAGAACTTCTCAATTTCTCTTTCATCATAATTGGATGTTGGTGCACAGACAACAAAGATAGAAACTGCCGACAGAGAGCCACATCTATTCAAGTGTAATCATCCTATTCGGGTTGTTAGGCATTCAAATGAATCAATGCTCATGGCTAAGTTCGTGTTGACAAGGATACCGAAATTCCAGTAGAATTTCAATATAAAAACTTAAAAAATACAAGTATCCCAATCATAGCCAGTAAATAGGTAGATACATACATACATATATACATATATACATACATACATACATACTTCCAGAAGTAAGAAAATAAGAGCCAACTCAACTCAGGGACCTCGGGAAACTTTCATAAGATTCAGTCCCAACCACTTAGTTTTCTTGGCTTCTGTGTTCAAGTTTCAAGGAGGGCACAGAAGGAAAGAAAGAGTGGAGGGGAGGGGATGAAGAGACAGATGCAAAGCAATAGGGGCCAGGTCAGGAGATTCAAGTACAAAGGTGGTGTTAAGGAATCATAGGGTCAAATATTCAAACCACAGAGTCAAAAACACTGAAATCAAAAAACACACAAACTTTACAACCAAACTTAGGAAGGCGCCTTTCAGGAGGACAGTCAGAGTGGGTGGGTGGTTTATGGGAGGAAACCCGGAAACATTGGTGGAGGGAAATAGATACTGGTTGTAGGACTGGTGCTGTAATATGTTATGTCTAAAACTCAACTCTGAATAACTTTGTAAATCACAGTGCTTTATTTTTTTATTTAATTACCATGATATAGTTACAAAGCTTTCATGTTTGAGTTTCAGTCATACAATGATCGAACACCCATCCCTCCACCAGTGCACATTTTCTACCACCAATGTCCCCAGTACCCCCTCATCCCATCCCTTGCCTCTATGGCAGAAAATTTCCCTATACTCTCTTTCTACTTTGGAGCATTATGGTTTGCAATACAGATACTGAGAGGTCATCACGTTTGTTCCTTTATCTACTTTCAGCACACATTTCCCATCCCAAGCGATCCCTCCACCAATCATTGACGTAGTGATCCCTTCTCTATTCCAGCTGCCTTCTCCCCAGCTCATGAGGCAGTCTTCCAACCACAGAAAAATATTTCTGACCCTGTGTCTACTGTCCTTGGGTGTTAGTCTCATATTAATTAAAGTGCTTTAACACTGGCCTATGTTAATTCCCTGGTACCCCAGATAATCCCCGAAGAGTGATCCCAGAGCCCAGAGCCAGGAGTAAGCCTTGAGAGATACTGGTGTGGCCCAATATTGAAAAATAAATTAATTCCTCCTACTTTGGGTTAATAAAGGCTAAAACTTTAAACCAAATCTCATAAAATAATTTCTATTGAGTAGAATAACCATTTTCTTTAGTTGAAGAAAGATTTTTGAGGTTTGCCCAAAAATGTGTTAGAAACACATTTCTATAAAGAAAATGTTATACACCATGCACAGAAGTCATATAAAAATGGATTAAAGGCCTCAACAACAGACCAGAATCCAAAAGGTATATTGAAGACAAGGTCGGCAAAACCCTCCATGATATTGAGGCTAATGGTTTCTTCAAAAGAGACATGCCACTGACCAACCAAGTGGGAAAAAAGATAAACAAATGGGACTATATTAAACTAAGAAGCCTCTGTGCCACAAAAGATACAGTGACCAAAATACAAAGACAATCTACTGAATGAGAAAGGATATTCACTCAATACCCATCCGATAAGGGGTTGATATCAAGGATATACAAAGCACTGGTTGAACTCCACAAGAAAAAAAACATTCAACCCTATCCAAAAAATGGGGTGACAAAATGAACAGAAACTTTCTCAAAGAAGAAATCCGAATGGCAAAAAGGCACATGAGAAAATGCTCTACATCACTAATCATCAGGGAGAAGCAGATCAAAACAACAATGAGATACCATCTCACACCACAGAGACTGACCCATATCCAAAAGAATAAAAGCAACCGGTGTTGGCGCGGATGTGGCAAGAAAGGAACCCTCCTTCACTGCTGGTGGGAATACCAACTGGTTCAGCACTTTTGTAAAACAGTATGGATGATTCTCAAAAAATTAAAAATTGAGCAAGAGAAGGGAACACCAAGTAAAGGGTGTTTGGAGGACTCACTTGGGATGCAAGATGCACGCTGAAAGTAGACTATAGACTGAACACGATGGCCACTCAATATCTCTATTGCAAACCACAACACACTAAAGGAAAGAGAGAGCAAAAGGGAATGCCCTGCCATAGAGGTGGGGGGGAAGAGGGCTACTGGGTTCATTGGTGGTGGAGAATGGGCACTGGTGGAGGGATGGGTACCTGATCATTGCATATATGAAACCCAAACACAAAAATATGTAAGTCTACAACTGTACTTCATGGTGTTTCACTAATTAAAAATAAATAAATAAATAAATAGAAAATGTTATATTTTTGTTGTTGTTCACTTATTGTTTTGAGGGGCTGAGCGATAGCACAGCGGGTAGGGCGTTTACCTTGCATGCGGCTGACCTGGGTCTGATTTCTCTGCCTCTCTTGGAGAGCCTGGCAAGCTACTGAGAATATCCCGCCTGCATGGCAGAGCCTAGCAAGCATACCGTGGCATGTTCTATATGCCAAAAACAGTAACAACAAGTCTCACAATGGAGACATTACTGGTGCCCACCCAAGCAAATCGATGAACAATGGGAGGACAGTGCTACAGTGCTACAGTTATTTTGAGGCCATACCTGATGGTGCTCAAAAACTTTGACTCAATGTTCAGGATTTCTTCTTAACATGCTCTGGCAGCATGAGGTAATGGATATCAAACCCAAGCCTCTTGCATGCAAAGCAAGCACTCCAGGCCATCGAGCTATCTGCTTGGCCTGAGTTTTTAATTTAAATCTTATTTGTCTCTAAATTAATTGAAGTGATGATAGAAATCAGAGAGATAATACAGGTGCAAGACACTTGTCTTGCGTGCAACTCATTCATATTTGATTCTCAGCACCATTTATGGTCCTCTAAGCACCACCAGGAATGAGCATAGAGCCAGGAGTAAGCACTGAGCACTGCTGAATGTGCACCCTCTCCCCAAAATAAAATGAGTACAGGGACCAAAGAAATAGAGCAGGGACTGGAGCAATAGTACAGTATATGAGATTCTTGCCCTGCATGTAGATGACCTGGGTTCTATCCTTGGCATCCTATATGGTTTCCTAGGAGTAATTTTGGGGTGCAGGGCCAGGAGTAACCCCTGAGCACTGACAGGCATGCTCCCATGTCCCTCAAAAAAGAAATAATGCAAATGTTAGGTGTATGTCTTCACATAAGGCAGACACTGATTTAATCCCAACACCACATGATTCCTTATCATTGTTGAGGGCAGACCTCTGGAGACCTCTGAGCACCACGAGGGTACTCCAAGTAATCTCCTGGCAGTGCAGAGTCCACAACTTTGCAGTCTTGGATATTCACACTGAATTGCTGCCAAGGTGACTGACAATCTCCTGGAGGCACCCCTGACTTCATTAAAAGATCAGTATCAAAAGCTTGCAAGGCTGAACAGACCAGGGTAGATCAGGGGCGGCAGGGGAGCAGTGTCCACCCAAACTGAGAGCCCTCAGCAGTTGCTTGCTCCCACAATCCAAAATTACCACCATGCTCCCAGCTGAACTCCACCATCTTGGGGCAGACCTTACTGAGTTATTAATCTGCTGAAAATTTGGGTATGCATGTTTTGGGACTGAAATCTTCAGGCTTTCTTGGGGTCGGAATGGGATACCTTCCCCCACCTCCCTGTGCCTTGGGAAACCCTGGCAATCACACCCACACCCCAAAACTGCTACCTAGTTAAAAAAAAAACTACTCCAGCTCTACCTTCCCAATTAAAATACTGAACACCCTGAACAAACATAATGGCTTCTTAATACGTGTTTTACAAACCATAATGCACAAAAGGAGAGAGAGAAAGAGAAGAAAGGTGCCTGCCATAGAGGCAGGCGGAGATAGGGGATAGCAGGGGGGTAGTGGGAGGAAAACTAGGGACACTGGTGGTGGGAAATGCACACTGGTGGAGAGATGGGTGTTGAAATATTGTATGACTGAAACTCAATCATGAATGCTTTGTGATGGTATATCTCATGGTGATTTGATAAATAAATATCAAATTTTAAAATAATTTTTAAAAAATAGATAAATAAATACACCTTTCTATGGTTTGATCCCTTGCGCCACATATTGTATCTTGAGCTCACCAGAAGTGATCCCTGAGTCTGAAGCCAGGAATGAGCCCTGAGCACCTCTGGGTCCAACATCCTCCACTCCCCCCCAAAAAAAAAGTTAAGAAAACTGTACTCAGTTCCCCAGTTCAGGATGTTGTGGGGAACTCAGACAATCTGGGAGATTCCACTGGAAGGCATTTCCCTTATTAATATTTCAGTTATGCTAAGGACAGCTCTGCTGGTAGTGGCACATGGCACTGCCTATAGACAGGAAAGAAGAGAGCAAAAACAATTCTGGACATGGCCCCAGAAGGTGAGATGGAAACAAATCCTACTATGGACTGAACATGAGAATTGAAAGTTCCACAATTATCACCTGAAGCATAAAATCACATGCATTGAGCTAAGAAATAATATAAAGATAAAGCATTGATTTGAAGTCAACCCCGATTCCCTCCCCAGCACTGCATATGGCCCCCTGGGCACTGCTGAGTGTGGCCCAAATTTAAAAAATAAAAGTGTAATCACTTGAATTGATACAAAAACATGTTTTATGGATGAAGGTTACTTCTCTCCCTTCTTCTACTCCCAACAACACATACTTCTCACCTGATATAATTTGAGCAGAAACAATTGCTCTGAGGTTGGTTAATGAAAACATTGCGGGTATTAGACATCTCTCAGACTTGCAAGGATTCT